AACTCAGGGAGCCTCCAGAGAATGTTCCCACTCACCAAAGACGAAAGTGAAGGTCAGGGTTTTTATTCTTCGACCCTCCCCGGCCCAGAGCGCTGCTTCCTGTAATAAGACATCGTACCCCGAGTACCCGAGTAGATTATCCCAGGGCCTCACTGCTCCCCTGATGCCTTTACGTCCCTCAGTGTCTAGCCACTGTACCTGCGCAGTATTTGCTGCCCTTCCTCCGGGAAATCCCCCTGACCTCTCTAGAAGAACTCAGGGTCTTCCCTCTGCTTCCCAGAGGTGCCCGCCTCTAAGTGTGACCCTCCCAGAGGCTGAGGCGGATCTTCTTTCACCTAGTGGGCACCCGGAAGACGAAGTCTTGCCCCTTCTTTCCTGTGAAAAACTGCCTGAGGTTCCCCGGCCAGCACCCTTTCCTTGTTGCCTTTCTTATATTCAAACCCTTTGCCTCTGGCCTTTGCCTTTTTTCCCTTCGGAAGGGCTGGGTGGCATTTTCTCACTTCCTGACTGAGTTCTGTGTGTGAGGTGGCAAAATGAAGTGGTGGTAACAGTGTATCTGCTCTCAGACTAAGATGCCTTGCATCAGTGTCCATTTGCTTTGCTCTCCTTTCACCACCACCATCGGAGAACAACCACCCGGCTAGCTGTGGGCCAGAGGCCCGGACAGTCTGCAGCAACTAACTGGCCGCATCTGTTGAGAGAGCCCAGCCCCATCACTGGAGTTGCCCAGTGAAGTCATTTGGAAGAGTCAAGTCCTAGCGCACTCTCCGAATCCCTGGGGTGTGTAAATAGGTCACCCATTTGGCTGCTAACTGAAACACTGGCAGACTGAGTCCTCCTAGAGGCACCTTGATAGAAAGGCCTGGCTATCTATTCCAAAAGCTGATCACTGAACGCCGTGTGGACCACACTTCTACTCCTGACACATTGGGGCAGCAAGCATGGACATGACTCAAGTGCACGTGGTTGGCTGACCCTCAGATGCATACGCTGAAGGAATGCTCGCTGCTGTAGGCTAATGAGATGTTAAGGCTGTTTGGTACACCACTTTTTCTAACTAACAGCGACTGACTTACTTGCTAATGTCTACTTTATGTAGACAATGGGCTCAACTATATAAGAACAACTGTGAGGAAAGGCCAGTGTTTCCTTCTGTTGTACACAGGGTCCAGTGGGTCAGAACTGGCTCATTGGCACCTAATAATAACAGCAGCTCATGGATGCTAATGCCTGGCATGCGGATATGAAACAAGTTTATGTGATAGACAGTGGTGAACTGAAGATAGAATCAAATCTTGCTTGATCTTTACAAAAGTTCTCTAAGATGGTCAAATGCAAGTAGCCGAGTTACACAGAAGGAGAATCTGAGGCCCAGAGGGACTAAATAATAACTGAGATAGATTAGGTAAGAGATTGGATTCTCTTACCCCCATTTTTCAAGTTCAGATGTCTTTGAAGAATTGCCCCAAGCTAACACATATGGGCTTAATCACACCCACAGCCAGTTAACATTTTAATGTGTGGCATTTTGCAATAGCCAGCATCATTTTCAATTTTCTTCCCCTCCTGCAAGGATAATGTGTTGTTCTCCCCTGTAAGAACCACGTGTTTTGTTTCCATACCCGTGCTCTAGGGCATTGACCCATTTGGTCAACTTACACTAGTCAGAGGAGCAGAGGAGACACCTGTGACCGCGTGTTGAACCTCAGAGCAAAGACCACCCAGGCAGAGGACTCAGACCTGTGGAACTAGCTGCCCAGTGCATGTGATGACAGTCTACCCAGCAGCTTTTACTTCAGATCCATTTTTGTTCACCCAATTCCTATAACCCATCCTTTGTCAGGTACTTCTCTCTAATAAATGTTCTTGCTTGCACCATTAGCTTGGTCCCTCACTAGGCCAGGGAAAGAGAATCATCTGTCGGGCAGCCCTGCAACACCATCTAAGTTCACACAGCAACAACACAACAAGGTCAGAATTTGAATCCAGGTCTCCTGTCCCCACGACCAGCGTTCTTTCCAACCCTCATGACCACTGCCAGGACTAGCCCTGAAGCCAGGTGACAGGGGCTACTGACCTTTGTGTCGGACCTGTATAGGTATCAAGGGCCTCTCTTTGGTCTGCTCAGGCTCAATGCAGAGAGAGCATGGATGGAAGTGCTGGGCCCTGAGGGAAAAACTGGCCATGTAGCATGGGGACCTCTTATTTCACGAGGCCACACTTGGCAACTGGCCTCAGGTTAGGGTTGCTCCTGGAGGAGGCAGATTTTTTTTTTCCTTTCCTATTTTTATGTTGTGAGGCTTTCGCGTTATGAGCACCTCATTAGAAAACTAGAGTGACGATCGCAAGAACTGCAGATTCTGACTCCCGTGAGTGCAGGGCTTGTATTCCTGCTGGGGGTGGGGGGGGGTGGAGTGAGGCTGATCTCACACATGACACTGCGCTTGGGGATGTGCCTCCCTCTCCTTGAGCCTCCCCCTAACAGGGATGAGGATCCACTCACTTCGGGTATCTCCACTAAATCCATCCTGTGAATTCTTACCTTGTCCAGATCTACAGGAACTTGTTGGGACTCACTCCCTAAGCCTTCTAGAGAACTATTGTTCAAATCCTGCTGGCTGCTCTTGTCCAGGACACCCAGTCAAAGCTGGAGCTCGGATCCCTCCTTCCTATGGCTTCCACCAGGCTCCATAATTAGAATGGCACTGAGTTTGGTGAGCGGTCACTTGGTCCATGTCCCTGCCTTCAATAGACTTGTCCCTGGGTTGCTATGTTGGCTAATGATATAGCATGGATGCTGATGTGCAGACCTGCCCTTATCTCTAAAGATGTCACATCAAAGACAGGTATCACCCCTGTTTTAAAAGCTACCAGAGAATTTCCCATTTCGGGAAGGTATCCATTCCAGCAGCCCAATCCTATTTCTATTTCCTTGGTCCAATTCTTTTCCATTTCTCTTTCTTCATAACTCATCATTTGACCTGACTTACATGTTCATTCAACAAATACCTAATTAAGTACTTCCATTTTCCCAGGCTCAATTGCAGTACAGTGTGACAAGAAGCTGAAGGATGATCCCAGAGCATGGCAAAATAGTGTAGTAGTTAAAAGTATGAGCTGTAAAGACATAAGGCCTGACAACACATTCCACAAAGACAGTGTGCTACATCCAGCTTTGGTGAGTAGCTATTGGGGTCTTAAAAGCACATGAGCAGCCATCTAAGGTGCAGCTCTCCCTATCCAGCAGAAGGAAGAGTGAAGCAAATTGAAGATACGAGGAAACAATTAGTTCAATAAACTAATGGACCATGTGAACATCAGCCTCCAGGACCTTGAAATCAGAAGAACTAGATGGTGCCTGGCTACCACTACCAACTGCTCTGCAGAGGATCATTTTAAAGTGGGAAGAAAAAGTAGAACAAAAGTCAAGATCATTAAAGATACCAGGCTTATTGGTTGGACTGAGACTGGTGGAACCTCAGAGACGGTGACCATTAGTCACTTTTAAGGTCTGGAAATGAACTCACCCTATAGCTCAACTTTCAGCCAGACAACAGACAGATCTATAAGGGGAACAATAACACTAGTGAGGTATGCACACCTTAGAATAATCACCCATTTGAGATTAAGGGGGCAACATTGGACCAAGGACCAAAGTTCAGAAGGTTCAGGAGAGAAGGAAGGTTGGAGGCAGGAATCACAGGAAGGAGGTGGAATGAGTAGTGTTGCACTGAGGGGTTTGCAATGAATGAAATGAAGCAACATGTGTATAAATTGCTGACTGTAAAACTGATCATCTGTTCTGTACACTTCACCCAACTCACAATAAAAAGTAAGGAGACAACAGCAACAACAACCAATTTGCTCATAAATTTTCACCCAAATTACAATTTTAAAAAGCCCAACGCATAAAGAGATAAATAATTCCGAGGTTTAAGAGCAAAAAACAAAAAGCTATATGGCCTGGGTTCTGGTCCTAATTTCTCCAAACACTCATTGTGTGACCATGGCAATGTATTTAACTTCTCTGGGTCTCAGTTTTACCATCTGTAAAGTGGAGGCGCTGGTAGTAGTTATCTCCATTGGTTGTTATAGGCATCACATGAACTTCCTTAGGGCATTGCATGTTTTTTTTTTTGGGGGGGGTGGGTTCCTCACATGTAATGATGTATGTAACATGGTTAGGCCAGTGCCTGGAGAGGAAGCAGTCTCCATGAACAGTGTGTCTTGACTTTTCTCCCGCCCTGGTGAAGGAGACAGAGGGAAGTCACAAAGTCATGGTTTCCTGAGAGCGTGGCTTTTAATGAAAGGATCCAGGTGGGCATACTCAAGCTGTCCTACAGAGTAAACTCATGAGCGCATGGCCTGGGAAATGCTGGTTTCCATCACACACACACAGCAGGGAAGCAAGCACAGAGAGGAAGACTGACCACGGATGGAAGCAGCATAGGAAACCTCTCCGCTGAGCTGCTCCCTCACAGTGGAATGGGAAACACACTGGACCAGGAGTCTGGAAGCTAGAAGACTAGTTTCACCCTGAAAACCTTTGAGCAAGACCCTTCTCCCTCCAATCCCCAGTCTGGACTTCAGTTTCTTTATAAGAAAATTAGAGAGTAGATCTTCCAATAGCTCTATCTAACTATAAGATTCTGGGGTGCTAACCTAAGGCAGTTCTCAGCAACAGCATTACTGGGAGGTCAGAAACCAGAGACACACAGGCATCACTCAGTGACAACCCACTGACTCCATGCCACGTGCCCTGCTGTATCCTTGGCATAGCTTGCTGTTCTACAACACTTCTGTTCTACTCTATTTGAGCAGGGACTGGCAGAGAGGAGCACAATGGCCCTGAGCATGTCAACAGTCCTGAGATGGCACAGGACTGGGTAATGTTTTGCTATGTTGTACACAGGTCACCATGGAGTTCAACTATTGGCCTGCAGAGAGGTGTGTCCAGGGAGAGGAAAGGGCAAAAGGGTGGAGCTCTGGTGGGCACTTACCGCAGGCCCAGTGAAGGGCACATGGTCACAGTTCTCCTGCCATGACTGGTTGAGGCTCTGGGAAAACTCTTGGAAGAAAGCATGGGACTGGTTGAAAATGGAAAATCCCAGGATGTTGACACGATCATCCACAAGGCTGTCCATTCTCTGGAGGGAGAACTCCTAGAACAACCCAGCAATCAGAAACAGAACAGAGTTAAGGAGGGAAGAAGTGCAGGGATGAACTTTGCTGAAGCACCTTTAGGTATTTCAAGTTACTCAGATGACCACCTACCCGGTGCCAGGTATCTTCCTGGCACGAGGGGTGTGGATATCACTAAGAGTGGGAGCGTGCAGTGTCCCGGGGAGAACAAGATAAATACATAGAATGATCCCCACAATGGTATTCCAAGGTGGAGCCAAGATTGTGTCCAAGATGGGACACTCGTGCTGGAACCTGAGGAGTAAATCAGTGTTCTCTGGGTAGAAAATATGAATGGAGAAAGGCTATGCCAGGTCAAAGTCAGCATGCCTGCTAAGGCACAGGGGTGAGAACGCACTCAGAGCTCCCAGTGTGACTTTGATGGAAGTCCTGCTCAACAGAGTGAAGTCTACAGAATACCTGTCCTAAGAATCACTCGGGTTTTGGGGTGGGAAAGGGGCAGGGGAGCAATTATAGCATGCCTTCCGCCTCCAGTTGAGTCTGGAATCTCTGGGACTAAAGCCTGGGAAATGGGCTAATGAAAACCCTATGGTCCACGCTAGAACACTGTCTGATAGCATGCTGGAAGATGAGCCCCTAAGTTGGACCCAAACTCACTGCCATTGAGTTGATGCCGACTCAATAGGGACCCTGCAGCCCA